TGATTCTTGACTCTTGACGAATGTATCTTTTCTTTTATGGACACTGAAAGCATTTGCACCAAGACAAATTCCTTGTGTGTCCAATTACACTTGGCCAATAAAGCTATTCTATTCTATTCTATTCTATTCTATTCTGTTCTGTTCTGTTCTGTTCTATTCTATTCTTATTGTACCCTCTGACTATTATTAAGTGTTGTACCCGATGATTCTTGACTCTTGACGAATGTACCTTTTCTTTTATGGACACTGAGAACATTTGCACCAAGACAAATTCATTGTGTGTCCAATCACACTTGGCCAATAAAGCTATTCTATTCTATTCTATTCTATTCTATTCTATTCTATTCTATTCTATTCTATTCTATTCTAATTCTAAATCTAAATCTAAATCTAAATTTAATTCTAATTCTAATTCTAATTCTATTCCAATATTCTACTCTACTCTACTCTAACACATTTTGGACAAAACCCCCCAAACATTTTGGATAAGACTGCTTGTGGATGTGAGGCAATTACGCTTATCCTTTGGGTGCTTATCTAACCAGGCGAAAGGATTAGTCATACAGCAAGAGAGGAGGGACTAAATAAGGATTATTCCGCAGAATGCTTGCCCTACTACACAGTTTAACTGTTTAAGAGGGAAGTGGGGGCTGTTAAGAGTTGTGCTTAACCTCACGGCCGCATTAGAGAGAAAACACGCAAAAGGACAAGTCTTCGGGGACTTCGCTTAATCTGCAAAATAATTCCTGCCAATATCGGTTTAAATTACTTGCGCCCACTTCTCCAATCGTTACTTACTCACATGGGCACTCTTACCTTGCGACGCCACATCGCACACGAAGTTAACCTCGTTCAAAGGCAGGGTCCAGAATGCCAGCTCTTCCGTGAAACTCAAGGCCCTGGCTTCGTGCCTTTCCAGGGGGAAGGCCTGCACGTTTAAATGTATGGGACCCTACAAGCAAAGAATGAAAATCCTGAGCCCCAAAACTGGAATGTGTTTTGCCTCCCAGGTGCCTTTTAATATGTAAATAAGGGGTCCCCAACCTTGGCAACTTTAAGACTTGTGGACTTCAACTCCCAGAATTCTCCAGCCAGCATAGTTTAAAGTTGCATAGTCTTAAAGTTGCCAAATTTGGAGACCTCTGAAATAAACTGCAATGGGTTGGTCAAAATTTAGGTGTTCTGTCACCAAATTTAGTAACAATTGTTAAGAATATAAGTCACCTAACAGGTATTTGGGTTAGAAATATATAAACCAGGATAAACATTTTAAAACTGTATCTTTAAGAAAAATGCAAAGCTGTAATTAGGTGTGGTTTCTCAAATGGCCATAAGACGGAGCCAGAAACCTGGGTTGTTTTGCCTTAGTCTCAGAAGAGAGTGTGAGTGTATCTGTTTCCTTCTGTTGGAGAGTATTGCCACTTCTTCTAATTGACTGATATTACTGGATTTAATGTAAGTCTGTTACTGAACTGTTTTTGACACTGGACTTTGTTATTGGATTATCCCTGGATTGAAAACTGACTGATTTAACCTGTGCATGACTTTGGACTGCTTATCTTGAACTTTGCTTAAACCTTTCTGGAAGTAAAAACCTACATTTACTGTACGGTGTATCTGTGTGCTGTGTGTGTATTATTCAAACACTACTCTTAAATACGTCTCCCTGTATGCGCTCATTCTCCTAACGGGGAATTACCTCAACACTAATCATTGTAGGATTTTAGAATCATCCATTCTGGACTGTTCACTTTATACCGCTGAATGTTGCTTTTGTCTTTTAATTGACCCCGTAATCCCTTGCATCGGGGTGGAGTCGGGGCAACTGAAAGGAACTGAGTATTTACTGGCCGGATGCCCTTTCTGTCACCAATGCAGAGTTCGCAGCTGATATTTACTCATTGTGCCCAGAGAAAGAAATACCTGCCGCTACCTAGGATTGAACTCACCGCTGAATATTGCTTGATTATACTAAATCCTTTGTGATCCAACAATCCACATCTTCTTTCTTTAATTTGAAAATACGATAGCACGTAATCAGCTTGGATTCCACGATTTTTTTTTTTTAACATGCAGCTTTGTTATTTGCCTTCAGTGCCCTTTAGAGTTGCCAGATTGGAAATACTTAACGCCGGTTAAACATGCAGGTTTATGGTCAATATTAAGTTTGAAGGATCCTCAGTGCTTTTTCTGCTTGGCGGCTTTCTTGGAGACCTTTCATTACCCAACTAGGTGACGCCAACTAGGTGACATCATCAGTTTGCTAGAGCAAATCCCACTCCTTCTAGCACTGATGATGTTACCTAGTTGGGTAACAAAACGTTTGCAAGAAAACAAGCAAGCCCAGAGACCACCAAGGACTCCAGTCATCCTCCTCCTCCTCCTCCTCCTCCTCCCTGTAAACCCAATTCTCATCTAGCACTGATGATGTTACCAAGTTGGGTAATGAAATGTCGGCAAAAAAAATCACCAAGCTCAGAGATCACCAAGGACCCCTCATTTCCGCCCCCAAAATTCTCCTCTATCAATCTTAAACTTGAACCAAATTTCACAAACCTTCACGTCGACGCGATGGGTTTCAGTTGGACACAACAGTCTTCGGCGCGATTTCCCCAAATGATTCATTTTCCAGTAGCCCATAAATTGGGTATCTGGCAATGGCAATCTGACCAAGAAAAAAAAAAATATAGCGCTATAATTAATTTGACCCACATTTTTCTCAGTTGACAATACTTTTTTTCCCCTTCTCGTTAACAGAATGTTAACCACGTGCAACAGAGTCTTAAGATGACAATGCTACTTTGCACTTGGGAATTTTTCCACTTGGGAATTTTTCTGAATAGGAAAAAAATGGTTTCATGGTAAAACATAAACTAAGTTCTGACATACTAAATAAGTCCTTAATGGAGAAGCAGCACCAAGTATATTGTTAGAAAATATAAGCAGTTTTTTTTTATAAAACAGCATTTGAAGATCTGGAATTGAGACTTTGGGAAAATGAAATATTTGAAGTTTTTAACAGATCATACAGATCAAACTATGATTCCCATTCAGCTAGAATTTTTAATATTAGTATTTATAATTATTTCTACTTAATGAGTCTATAGAAACACACCTGTTCAAGTTAATACTCTGCCTTCAAAATACAAATCAAAACACGTTTCGAGTTAGCTATAAATGAGGGATGCTTTTCCCTAGAAAATATTTATTATTATTTGAAATAATAATTATTGAATAATTTGATCAATGAAGTTTGCAATCACAACAGACTTCTACTATGAACTAACTTTCTTTCTTTCTTTCTTTCTTTCTTTCTTTCTTTCTTTCTTTCTTTCTTTCTTTCTT